CAAACTTGTCCCAAGTCAGATGCATAGGTGTCTTGGAATTCCTGCCCACAGTGAAATGACATCAGGTTTTAAATACCTGAAAAGAACCCTCTTAAACTTGATGCAGTGTTACTGCTTCGTTTTCTTTTTTTTTTTTTTTTTTTTAATAACATGGAAGTTGCTTGCTTTATGAAGAAAAAACCTCTTATGTTTTCCTTATGTTATTATTATTATTATTTTCAGAATTAAGTGAATCTGTAATTTAAGTGGATTTGTGTCTTGTATTTTGCTGGTGAAAGTTAGACTAACCTTTGATCTAATGGGTTACTATTAACTAAATAGTGAGTAGGAAATTGTGGACTAACTGCAACTAAAATACTTGGAACAGAAGGCACTGACAGGTAGCAGCCTTTCAGTTAAGAAAGTGCTTTTTTTTTTTTTTTTTTTTTTTTTTAATAACATGGAAGTTGCTTGCTTTATGAAGAAAAAACCTCTTATGTTTTCCTTATGTTATTATTATTATTATTTTCAGAATTAAGTGAATCTGTAATTTAAGTGGATTTGTGTCTTGTATTTTGCTGGTGAAAGTTAGACTAACCTTTGATCTAATGGGTTACTATTAACTAAATAGTGAGTAGGAAATTGTGGACTAACTGCAACTAAAATACTTGGAACAGAAGGCACTGACAGGTAGCAGCCTTTCAGTTAAGAAAGCTTTGCATCTGTGTCAAAGGCTTGTGGTATTTCAATGTGTGAATACTGTTTTATTAGATTCTTTCACAGTTCAGCAGTGTGGGTGATATTTCAGCTGTATGTGAAAGGAAACATGAAAACGTTCAGTGGCTTAAGTTTCAAACTGTCTGAACTGTAGTAAAAGGCTACCATTTTTGACATGCCACCTATGTTCTTTCAAAACAACTATTTTTTTTAAAGAAGTATATATTTAATTGATACTATTGGTACTAAGGAGAGACCTTCTGTTGCTCAAGTTATGCCCCAGGGAAAATGGTTAATGTTGTAGCTTATGAAGCTGAGATGTTGGTTTTCTGAGACACTTCCTGAAGTTTTTAGTTGACTTTAGGAAATGATTTGGTGGACAGGGGTCATTTGCTGGCAATGAAAAAGTGAGATTGGCAACAGGAAAACACTTTCTCCTGCTCCTCTTCCAAACTGTTTTGCTACGTGGCAGCAGGAGCCCTGAAATGTCAAGGGACTCTGCAATAACTTCCACTAAATACTTCCCTCAAACTGTGAGACTTCTCAGAGGGTGGTTTAGAGTTTTAACTTCAGAAGGAAATTCCTCAGTTCTATATCAAACGGATCTCAAATATAGCTTAATTAAATATTGAATGTGTTTTTCAGAAACTCAGTCTGTTGTTAGGGTTGTGTATTGAACCTTCAGTTCCAGAATTTGGCAGAATGCACTTTTTTTCCTCAAATGTCTCACTACTTTGAGACTACTGACAAAACATTTTTTGTCAATGTTTAGAGGTTTCATGATTCATGTTTAATGTAATGAAGAACATTTTTAATATATAGAGAATTTTTTAGAAAATAAGATACAAATTTGGTGATTAAAAATTTGCTTCTCATTCAGTGTTAAATGTACTATAATCTTGTGATTTAAAAAAAATAGTTCTGTTCATTGGAGGTTCTGGATTTGTTACAAAAATGCATATGGTTATTCCAATTGAGACATTCACACATGTAACTAAACTTGTATTTCTTGAAATATCCCCTCTCCTGCTGAGCTAATCTAACTTGATCTAGAATGCTTTAACTCTTTAGTTAAGTTTCCTGAGCAATGCCTGGGGTCTCAAGGGGTTTTCACAACTGCAACAGAACACAAAGAAGTATTCTTTAGCAAAATGAGTAGTAAGGATTCATTTTTGTAAGATATTTTCTCTGTGACTTGCATCCTGCTTTTGCAGCAATCATAGACTTGTACTCATACTCCCATCCCCTCTGCTTTCAGTCTGTCACTCTACAATCTGATATGTACTTGAATTGTTTGTCTTCATCTAGTCTAGCTTTGAAATGCTGAAGAAAAGTGTCCAAAGCAACTAAATCACTGGTTTTCCTAGACAGAAGCAGATGGACACGTACTTTGCAGTGTGCTGTGCTTCTGCAGTTGAGACAGGCACTCTGTAAGAAACTTGCATTGAATTACTGCTTGGAAAAGATGCTTCTCATCCTGAGAGAATGGAGGGTAAGCAGGCTGTCTAAGACAGCAGGGCTGCAAGGTGTAGTGGCAAAGAGGAGATGGGGATTTTTCTGAAATCCTCCTTGTGTAGCCTAGCTGTAGGCTTCCTAAGGGCTCTTGTGTGGGGGCACGTTGGGGTTTTCATCTCTCTTACAAAGCAGAGCATTTAAATTCTAAGTGACTGAAGGCTTTCAAGACAGTAACACTTAGAGGAGGTGCAAGCTGTATACATGACAAATTAACGATAGTTAAAACAAGTGATTAGCGAAAGGGAATAACTTGTTTAAAGTTTGAAGAACATGCAAGTAAATGAAGTTAACACTTCATGACAAGTAAGAGCTTGTAATTTTAACATTAAATGTCTTAATACTCCTCCATCTTTCTGCAGTTATAGTAGCTTAAACATCGATTCAGAAATCTGTGCTAAAAGGAAAACTTAATTAGTGTAAGTTTGCTTCAGTAGTACTTAATTTCCTGCAAGAGAAGGAAGATTAATTTTATACTCTTAAATCTTTCCAGTTAATTTATAATCTCTTAATCCTGGCTAATATTTTAAGCACTAATCAAAGATGAGCTGGAACTTGAGAGTAGACTTTCTTTTGAAAAGCCACAAGAGGTCATAAGGGTCAAATATTGCTAGTAATAAAGTCTTGTGGTTGTCTTTGATCTAAACCAGACACAATTTAAAGAAAAACATCTCAAGTGTATTTAAAAATAGCATTCATGTTTTTTCCTAAAATGTAACACTTCAGGCATCAAAAGCTACATTAGCAGAGCTGAAAGATTCACTGTGGCTATTTACAGTGAGTTAATCTGCTTTTTTTATTAATGTCTGTTGCTTGTGTTGAATGGTGAGAATGATTGTGACAATTGCTATTCTGTCAGGCTATGGAAAGAATTTTTGATAAACAGTGTGCATTTGTGTCTGTGTTTAATAAACTGAATTTGAAGTTCAGTTATGTTTTGTATGTTTTTATATAAATTACACTGACAGAAAACACTTTCTAGCCAAGGTCCATTCCTGAAAGCCAACAAACTTGAGGAAGATAAAAGGACTGTGTTCCCTCAACTGCAGCAAGACTGGAAGATAAGTAATTATAGTTATTTGATGGATTGAACCAGACAGCAGCTCAGTAGTGAGGGCTAGATTCAAGTGATTACCCATAAAGCACTTTTTTCTTCCCTTCTTGTCCCCAAAGGAAGCTGATAGCCCATCTCCTTAAACTCTTCAGACTTGACCAGAGGCATTCAGTGTTGAACAAAGGGTTTATCCCAATGTAGTAGTTTCTTTTTTTTTACCAGGATTTCTGCCTTACCTTGGATCAGCTGTCCTGTTGTAGACTGGAGTTACTTTTGTATCACTTTTTCACCCTTATGTTTATTTAAACGCAAAGAATTAAAGGAGCTTTATCTGACGTTACACTGTGTGGCCCTGCATTGCTGCTGGGGAGCTCTGAGTGGCGGGAAGTAGTCACATCAAAGCTGGTTTTGTTCTGAATTTGTGAGGAAAGCTCTATTGTGCTGCTGCTGCTGCAGTCACTGGATGGTAAATGTATTGTCAGTCATTGTTAATCTCTGTCAGAAACCTGCAAAAATAGGCAATGCTTGTTTCAGTAGCTTGAATTTGATCAGGGGGATAAGAGAAGAAGCGGCCATTATTCTAGAATCACTAGAGTAGAATTAGTACTGTCAGTTGTCACTTGCAGATCTTGGACTTCCAAGGAGAAACTAAGGTCTTGTAGATCAAGTGTATGGTAGCTGGATGATTTGTACTTGTCTGTATCTTAAGATGTTGTGTGAGTTTGTTCTCTCAAATGTTCATCTGCTTACACAGGGAGCTAAGAAATTTAATTTATCTGGACGTTAAAACTGGAAACAAATTCCAGCTCAGAACAAGAAAGTTTTGGTAGATGGTAACAAGCTTCTTGTTCTTTTCCTCTTCGTGTGTTTGTTTTCTCCTACACAAATATTAAATGCTTTTTAGGAGTTGTTTTCACTTAAAAGATTTTACTTGTCATGTTTCTTCTTAGTAGTCTTAAACTCTTGAACAGGTAACACACCACTGTTAAACTCCTACTTAGTGTTAGCAATGTATGTCTGTCTGACTGCAGGGTCTGCATATTTATACCCTCTCACTGACTTGCACCAGGTGATGGCTTGGATGCGTGTTGGCAGGAGTACCCTTCACAGATTAGGAAGTTGATAGTGTTGCCTTCCTGCTTTCTCTTCTGCTTCCTATGTGGTTCACTGGAATTTTTAACAGCAGAACTAGAAGCCTAAAACTTAACTTTGTGTGCTTTGATATTCCATGTAGGTGTTGACAGTGTTTTAACAAAAGAGGAAGTGAGTGTTAGAAAGAGGATGTGAAACTTACAGTAATTGGGATAAGTATGGGAAAGAGCTGGGGCTGGAAGTTAACATCTGGTTTTGAAGCTACATTATTAACTTAATGACATGTAATCAGTTTCAATGTAGCCATGTAAAATTTAAGTTGATTTACAAATTGTAATGGATATTAGAAGAACTGAACTTCCACTGCACTGAATTAATGTAGTCCAAAATAATTATGTATTTTTTTCTGAAATGTCTTGGAAATATCAGACGTAGGGCTTTAGATTACAAAAGTAGTGATTTGACCATAGCTACTTGGTAACAAGCAAAAGTTGAGCAGCATATGTAATTTATTGCAGAGATCATTGTATGTTTTCTATCCTCTGAGATGGGGCAAGAAGAGAGAATGGTCATCACTGGATTAATTGGCCTGTTGAGTTTACTTTAAAAAAACTGGGTTGTTTTGTTGTTTTTTTTTTCAGCCACTGATCTTCTTTTGGCTTGGAATCCTATTTGTCTGGGCCTGGTAGAGGGAGTCATTGGCAAAGTTCAGCTGCATACAGGTATGTGGTTGTTTGTGTTGGTTTGTTTGTTGTTTTATTTTTTTTTACTGCTAATGCACTTTGTTTTAAAGCCAGTGATATAAAAAATAATACTCTGTAGCTTAAATGGAGTTATTTAGTGGTCTTTGCAACAGGGGAGGGCTCCTCGACTCTGTGAATTTGTCAAAGTGATTATATTATATCTGCAGATGCAAATTTCCTCTACTTTCCAGTGTATGTATTTTGGTCTGTCATTGTCTTGTAAAAAGAATTGTGTTCACAGAGAGTAGAGATTTGTGTTTGGTGTTCTGTAAGAGGCTCTGTGTAAGATGCATAAAATTCTTGTACCTCTTTGAATAATCCTTTCAAGCAGGCTGTTGTTGTTTTCCTACGATACAGTGCAAAAACTGATGATGGACTTCTTCACAAAAATATAAGTCTTGAATTCTCAATGCTATATGAAATCCTGAAGAATACTTTGGTAGATGAAAGTAAAAGGAACACTTAATCTAATTTGTAGTTAAATGTAAGACATGCCTATAAAATGGAAGCAGGTGTAGAATGCATTGTGACTTAATGCTAAGCCTCTATACCTGATTCTAGTAACTTTTTCCTGTCAAATAAGGTCAGTGCTCTTTTAGCTGTAGTCAGCTGCGAATTCCTGTAGTCACAATAGGTATTTATTTTGATATCTACTAGGTTTGTCTAGAAATACTCTTCTGTCAGTAGATATCTGGATATCTATTTACTGCCATGTAGGAAGGCCAGCCATGAACTCTGTTTCACTTACTGTGTGCTGTTCTTTTTGTGAATGCTGAGACCCTCCATTTAAAGTAGTGCCTGGCAATATGATCAATACAGGTAAAGTTTCAAGTCTGTTACCAGGATAGCAGGATGGATTAAGTCCTGAAATGGATCAGATGTTTGTGGCCCATTGACTAGAAACAGACTAGTCAAGATGGCAGTGGCATGCTAGCAACAGGTGAGGAAGGGAAAGGGGGGCTGGTACATCACTGCATGGGCATGACAGAGCTAGTCCTAGGAAATGCTTGGCTCCATAGTTATGGTAACCCTTAGATCTTGTTTCTGAGAATAATAGTTCAGAGCACATCCCTCTGTGAAGTTCATGATCATGTTCTCTTTCTGGTTGCATCACTTCATCTACTTTAAATTTCACCTGATGCTTTTGTCTATGCTCATTCTACAGAACTATTCAGCCATCCTTGCTCAGATCTGGTGATACAAAGTGGGTCAGATTCTGCCACCTCACTTTCTCTTCTCATCCAGGTTGTCTGTGCTGTTCATGATGAATAATGGCTAAACTCCAATAATGACCTCTTTCTGCTATGGGAAAATGCTCAATTATTGTTTTTAGCTTAATGTTTTTTTGGTGTGTTGTGCTTTTTTAGTATCTTTTAAACTAAGCACTTAAGTGTGCAGAGGCCTTCTCCCCTTCTCCCTAGGGAGTCTTGTGTAAAAGTCATTGAAGGGGAAGACCTTGTCAAATGCTTTCTGGAAGGTTTAGTTTGTTACAGCAACCAAATATTCTTGCATGTGTGCTTATTGTGTGGCACTTGCTCTGCTTATGAAAGCATATGTGACACTGCTGTTGTCAAGTAAATTGTCAAGCTTGCTGTTATCAAGTAAATCAAGATTATCAGGTAATAAATCTGATATCTAGTCGTCTTTTCGTATGTCCTGTAGAGCTGCTGAATCAATTTTGCTTATCCAGGCACTCCATTCAGTTGTTCCTTGGGCCACTGGAAGCATTTTGTTTCCTCTCTGCCTTGTTCAGATCCTTCTTATTTTTGGTGTTCTGGTAGTAAGTGATGCAACTGTCCTCTAGACAGATATTTTTTTCTACCTTTAGATGTCTGAAGAAAGTGCAGTCTCCAGTTTATTATCCCTACTGTTCTGCTGAGAACTGCTGTTCCCTTCAGTCTGCTGAATAGTTGTTGATGAGTGTCCTCCATCAGGCTGCACTCAAAATGAGAGGCTTGGCTGAGATGCCTTACATAGTTTTCTTGAAATGAATATTGTCAATGAAGTCTCACTTAATCATATTCAAGTGTAGTTTTAGGTAATCCTCTAGCTGAATAATCTAGCACTCTGTAACAGTAACCTGTCTTCATTATTTATTCTTGTATCAATCTTTGTCACCCGGAAACTTGATCAGCAGAAGATGTATAAATATTTAACATTGCTGGACCATTGTGTCCAGACTTAGTAAGAATACTGTGGAACCTGAGCAAAATGCTTTTCTTCCAGAGTTGACCTGAAACAGGAGGACTTGTTGCTCTGATTTCTTCACCCCAGTCCCCAGACAATAAGGATCAGAAAACTTAATTCGGAGCTCATTTGGCTAGCTACAGTCCTGTATAGGCTTGTCCTGCTCAGAACCTTGTCATTAGTTATTGTTGAAAGGACTGGTGTGATTTTAAAATGCTTAGCACATTTTGACTACTAATACTGGAAACTTTAATTACCTTTTAAGTATTGAAATTGCTGCCAGTGTACTCTAGAGCTGTCACTAAGCCTGTATGCACTTCAGTGTCTTGTGCATGTCTTAACTGTTCTGAAAAGATTTACTTAATACAAGGATGCTGGAATAGCCCTAAAATGACCTTGAAATGTCCCTTAGTCAGTCTTGGGCTATCCTTAATTTAGCACCAAATTTCTGTAACCAGGGATGGGATTTAATTTACTTACAATCTTGCTGGTTTTATTGCTGTCCTAGCAATAAAACATTGCTGGCCTAGAGAATTTGTAGCAAAGCTTCTGCAGCAGAGTATCAATCTTGTTGAAACCAGCTAGCCAAGATCACGCTTGTTTCTATTTTAATTCTTTAAAGAATTTTTGCCATGAGGGAGTCAGTTGTGCATCTGGACATAAGTGTAAACTCACACTGGAGATGATTGGCTCTTTCCAAATATTGGGTTTTCTTAAACATTTGAGATGCATTTTGGGGAAATATAAAAATAATGTCAAAACCAATAAAATCTTAATTGCATATCAGAATGCAATGATATGGTCTCTTACCTTGTTCTGGCCCATCCTAAGTTGTCTTGTAAGGAAATGTGGAGTAAAAATAGGAATAGATGGAAAAGAATTCTAGGATGTGTTGTGGAGATAAGCTACTGAAACAGAACATATCACATTTTCTTGGTGCAGATACACAGTTAAAATGGTCTCTGCATGACCTTCCCATATAAAGGCAAGCACATCTCCTCCATAAACTGTGTCTCCTTTAGAGAATATTAATTTTCTTGTGTGGCCCAGTTAGTGTGAATTCATACAGAATGTAAGTGTAGCCACGCCATTTCCCTTTGTAAAAATCCTAATACATAATTAGAAAGAGGTCGTACTATTGTTAGAATAAAAAGTAGATACTTTAATCCACTGAAATAGTAACTGTGTTCTGAAGTTGAATCACTTTTGATCAGACACTACTTAGCAAGTAGATCAAACACTGCAGTGCTAGAGGTAATGCTGTAGTTGATAACTGCTTGGAGTTAATTTTGTATATCTAACCATAACCAAAGCTGGATATCTTAACCAGTTCCAGCAAATTCCATTTAACTCATTCATTGCCACCAATGAATTTTTCTTGGTCAGAGCACACTCCCGGGCAGTGTCATGTCTGTATTTGGATCAATTTGGTGTGCACTTCCAGTGCTGGTTAATTAAGATCAAAATTAAACCCTGTTGGCAAGGTTTCGTGGACTCAGTAAACAGAAGGGGAGTTCCTCCATCCTTCTCCCCAGGAAAGGAAAACTTTTTTTTTGTTAACATGCATGTGAATCTTGATAGAAATGAGTGCTTCAGCATCTGAAATATCTTCAATGAGCTGTAACTGCTGCCATTTCTAACTCAATTCAGTCAACAACTTAAAATATTCTTTTTGCATGCAGCTGATTTTTAACTTATTCAAGTAACAAAAAAAAAAAAAAAAGAAAATGTTAGCATGAAATTTCTTGGCCAAAATCAAAATACTTGGGAAAAGCAGCATTTATAGTCAACTTACGCACAGTTTAAGAAAAGTTACTGTAAAAGCATTTGGGAAAAGTAAATGCTAGATTGTTTGGGAATTGTTAGAGAAAATAAACAGCAATGGGGTGCTGACCTATGACTGTATTGTTCATCTGTACACACCATACCTGTCGCATTGAGTAGACAATAACTGATTTTTTTATGATTTTAAAATTATTTTGTGGAATTCTTTTTTAACTGCAGCAGCACATAATCTAGGGATTCAGTTATTTAGTTATTACTGGCAATCGTGATATGCTTCTTCTGGGGCTATTGTTGAAGCTTGTACTTTAGGGAATACTTTATCTGCATAATTACTTCCTCACTGTTTTCTTTTGATGGGCTGGGGAATTCCTGTTTTCTTTCAGTGTTCTGTGGCTCTGAGTATAATGCAAATAGTTTTTTGTAATGTATACTAAGATGACCATACATGATACCACACATGACACAAACTGGCATAAGTGTGGCAGCCTATTAATGTCTACCACAGCAGACTTCTAGTGTCTGTGCATGGCCTCTTCAGTTAGGTCTAAATCACCTAATTGCAATAGATGAAGCAGTGGTAACTTTAGCTCTAATGGGTGTGTCTATTACATAGTTAATCTCCTTACTATATTGGTTTTTAGACTTTGTTGGGTTTTTTTCCCAATGCATAATATAAAAACCATAGCAATAGTGAATCATCATTCACTAGAGTCTTCTAGTCAGATGGTTCCTGGCAGAGGTGGTGCTCTGGGGAGAAGCTTCTGGCAGACTAATTAAAGTAAATGCCCAACAGGCAAATCAAATATCTACTAATCTTTTTCCAGATTTACCATGGTGGCTACTTTTAATTCGTCAAAAAGCATTGATTGGCAAACTTCCAGGAGACCATGAGGTTTGCAAAATAACAAAGATTGCAGTGATTCCACTTTCTGAAACTGAACCTCAGGATCTGGAATTAGAGGTATGTCTATCTTCAAGGAATTGTAACTTCCCCCTTCCTGCTCCAGTGAAATCTAAATGTGAAATTCAATGGGTAAACACACACCTCATTTCTTTTTCCTAGTGTATGCAGTAATCTTAAACACTGTGCTTTTTAAGTATCTCTTTTTTTTTTTTTTTTAATTAAAGCTTGTTTTTTTAAAAAAAAACAGAAATCACAAGTTCTGCTAGGGAGGAAAATGACAATAGAATTATACTCAAATTCCATACAGACCATTGAAAATAACATACAAGAACAAAATTGTAATAGTGTAATTGAGCAACAGAGTATTTGAGAACAGAACTGAATCCTCAGGAATCATCTAAAGGGACAAAGCTAGACTAGGACAGGAAACTTGTTTTTTTAGTTAAAAAAACCCCAAAAGCTCTGATTACCTCTTAATGAGTAGGATGGTAAGACTTTCAGTAGATCCTACTAGTCTAAGATGATGTGCTCTGGTTAGTAGACTGTTGAGAGAATAATTCTGGTTTCAGGCTTCTCTTTGGAGAGTGTGTGGTGGGAGGAGGGAACATGACAAGGGAACAGAATGGCTTGTGATAGTCCCTATGGCTCCAAGGGGAACCCACACTTTAAACATTGCAGATTTTTTTCCAAAAGAGAATGGATCAAGGAAAAACAGTCTAAGTGATTACTACTCTTTTGGGTGGGAAACTGAAGTGGAATTGGATACTCCAGTCATTTAAAATTGAGGCAGACGCTCTCACAATCACAGGAAAAAATGCTTTTGGTAAAAGAAAGGGAGAATTATGCTATAGATGGACACCTGCATGTTCCCTCTGTATTTCAGTGTCTTCTCGAGGCTTGTGGATTTTAATTAAAACTTCCTTGAACTTTTAAAATAGTATTTAATTATTTCCTTCAATTCAATATTGTTATTTAGCTTTGTAAAAAACACCATTTTGGGATAAACAAACCAGAGAAGATTACACAGTCCCCAGATGACACAAAATTTCTGCTGAAGACGCTTACTCAAATTAAATCCAATGTGTCTGCTCCAAATAAAAAGAAGGTAAACCTATTTACTCTTTTGGTTTTTTTTTTTGTTTATTTCAGAATGTTTATAACTTTTGATAACTTAAAGATTATGGTGAATGATCAAATGGTGTACCAAGACCTAAAAAGAGAACTATTGAAAAACTGCAGAATGTGGAACCATTATGTCTTGAAGTTCAATTTGTTTTTTGGTTATTTAGCTGTGCCTCTTCTGTGATTTCTCATTTTGTAATTACATTATTTTGATAGAATTTCTATATAGAGTCCCTTCTTAGTGGGATTAGCTTGAAGTGGGATTCTAGGCCTCTACAAATTGCTGTGCATAATCATCTCTCTTGGAATTGGAGACAAAATTTGGTGCATGCTCCCCCAAAAAGCAGGATACAATATTACCAAAGTGCTTGTAACACAATAATGGCTGGGATTAGAAAGCCCAAACAGTATTTATTAAAATAAGAACAGATAGATGCAATCTTTCATACAAATTATTGAGATTGAAACATTCCACTTGAATGTAACCTTCAAAAGTTTCAGAGTCTGACTGCTCTGAATCCTCTTACTGCTAAAAGCAATAGCATAATAGTTCTGAAGATGTTGTCCCTGGTTTTCATCTCTGCTAGGAGTTTTATCATCTTGTTTCTCAATGGGAAAATGTTTTTCCTACAAGGATAGAAATGGTGTTTAGGAAAAATGACTGGAGTCTTTCAATCAAAGAGAAAGGCATAAGGAATCCGTAACTTTTCTTTCAGATTAAAGAAAGCAAAGAGAAAGAGAAGCTGGAGAAGAGATTATTGGAGGAGTTGTTCAAAATGTTCATGGATTCAGACTCCTTTTACTACAGCCTGACCTATGACCTAACAAATTCAGTACAGAGGCAGAGTGTGTGTGAGAAAACTAACTTGGCTCTGTGGCGGAAAGTAAGTTGGTTTTGGGGTGGGTTATTTTCAGTTTTGTGGTCTTTGAGGTTTGGTGTTTGGGTTTTTTTTCCCCTTTTGGGGGATGTGCTTTTCAATATGGTGTGTGGTCCAAACCTAACTGGTCACATTCTTTGTTGATACAATCTCTTGCCACTGAAGATCTTACTTGGTAACCAGCTTCAGTGCAAGGAAATGAAGCTGAAGTGTCCAGCAGCATGTCTTGAACTGAGCTGTTTTGTAGAAAAGCAGTGAGCACTAGACTTGTATGTACAGTTGTAGTGTATAACAGTGCTGACTTTACCAAAGATATTGCCAAATATTAACTAAAATATTACAAAAACTGCCTTTTTTTTGTTTGAAACAGGTTGATGACAGATTCTTCTGGAACAAGCACATGATTGAAGATCTCATCAGTATTGATGTGAGTCTTATTTCTAACAATAACGTGTGTTACTTTTAGTCAAAAAGTTTACTTAAGGTGTCATAGAAGTTTACTTAAAAACCTGCTTGTCAGACAGATCAGGATCAGGGCTGTGCCTTCTGAAGCTGATCAGCTGGCATTACCTTCTTCCCTGACCTGGCCTTCCAGCAGCCTTCTGGTTGGCCTGTAATCATTGTGAATGAATGAAAATCAACTGAATCAAGAATTTGAATACTCTAAAGCAATGGAGAATAGCTCAGTGTGTGATACATTTGTGCTAATGTCTGAAGGTAAACTTACAATGTGTTAATCTGTGAAATTAGTTATCCTTGGACAGAGCTGAACTTGATGAGGAGCCAGAAAAGAAAGGGCCTCAAGTGTCCTTGAGGCAAGATTTTTGTCCTGTTTTTCTCCTTGAACAGAGTTGCTGGTCAGCATAGCAAAAGTGTAGAAGTGTAGTAGTGTATACTGAACAGCTATTCAGAGTAGACAAAACATTTTGCTGGCTAATGAGCACATAAACCCAGAACAACTCTTCCTTCTGCAGTGTGTGATCTCATTTCATCTTAAATTAACCTCACAGATACAGGACTGAGTTAGTAACTACTAAATGCCAATCTAGGCCCAGTCTTAGGTTCTTGTAAAGTTGACAGCAGACATCAGATGACATGCAAGAGTCCCAGCATCTCTTTCATTAATAGTTTTACATATTCTTATGGAGTCAGAGCAAGGGAAACTTAGATGCTCTGTGAGAAGTTGTGTCATGCAGCAGCTTAACTAGTTTTATTTTTCATGTCATAGGATATAAATGGATCATCTTGAGTTAGCAGGGAATTTGCATCTTAATTCTGTTTAAGAAACTGAGGGTTTAAGGTGACAAAGCACTGATTTGCATAACCCTGAACCAGTTGGCCTGCATAAAGCTTATGCTAATATGTTTTGCTGAAAACAGACCAACAGCATTACACTTTAAATAAAAAAATAAATGTAATACACTATATATTCACAAAGAGGTTCTAAAACTACCTTAAAGAAGAAGCTAGTTAATTAATTACCAATATTTGCTGCTCTATTTGTACTGACTATCCTTATCTTTGACATGAGAACTTAGTACTTTAAGCTTTTAATATGCTAAAACATCAGATGAAGCACTGCAGTGAAAAATCTCTTGGGGGAAACTGGAAAAGAAGCTTTTAAATATTGTAGGGTTTTCTTCTGTCCCTAGATAGCTGGGAGTACAGGAGGGATTTTTGCCTTGCCTTGATTCAGCTTGCTTCATCTTCACAGAAAAATCTTATGTTGCTTTCTCCTTCTTCCTCCTGATATAAAAGCTTTACAGCTAATGGAAGAAAATGCTGGTATCTCTTGCAGAAATAAAACAGGCATATGGCAAAGATTTTTTAAAAGATGAAAGCCATGCAAAGTAACTGTTTAAAAATGAGAAATGGCAAGAATAACTGAAGAAAATGTAGAACACTGAAGTGGACTTCTGGATTATACCCATCATACAAGGATTTGTGCAAATTGAAGAGCTTGTAGTAAACTATAGTGAATCTTCTGATGATGATAAGAGCAGTCCTGAAACTCCACCTCAGGAATCAACTTGCGTAGATGACGTTCACCCAACATTTCTGGTGGCACTTATTTCCCGCCGGAGTCGGCACAGAGCTGGTAGGCAAACATAATTCAAGGTACTGGGGTTGTTCCTGAACTACTGGAGAGGAATGCAGAAGATAGAACTTTAAAGAGTGCTGTGATGGGTCTGCTCTTGTCAGAGTATGTGCTGCAGCATAAACATAATTTCCTCCTAGTAAACATTCCTG